CAACATAAGAAGAATTTCTCTTGACAAAATCATGAATCACGCAGATAATGCAAGTTATGCATGGCGGCAAATTACTTGTCTGTTAGGTGCTATTTGACTGACTGAACTAATGTAATTTATGGATGGCCTATTTGTTGTTCTTGATTTTTTTACGTTGTAGGATCAGAATATTAGAGCAGATAAAGATTGTTTTCGAGTTCTACTGCAAATTGTATTTTCAAACGATAACACTGATGCTGCAGTTAATTGGTTCTTGTGAACCCAATAATTTTTGCTCAGACCATGTATGTTGTTATACTTGAGTTCCTTATAGGAAATCATAAAATTTAAATTCTGAATCCGTCGTCGTATTAAATCAGTTCTAAAGTTTATATCATCCACTTACTGTATTTTTTCTTAAGAAATGGCCAACAATTAAAATGTCGAAATTTACAAACACCAAAACAAAATCACTACATTTGGCGATAAGCTACTTACTGTTTTCTCTCATAACAAAGATGTTGTAGACTTTGCTTAGCCGTTAGANGCATTAAATGAACTTCTGCATAATTTTTCTAACTTTGACGGATATAATTTGTGACATGTATTTTCGAACTGTTACGTGTATTCTTGAAAATACTTTACCAATATGATACTTGTTCCATAGCAACAAGGGCTTGGGGAATGGCCTTTAATTTAATTTTACCCTAAAACTTTAGTTCTAAATGAGGTTGAGATCATTCCTTTTTTTTAAAAAAAAAAAAAAAAAAAGAAGATGAATACCAGTGGGCCGGGGTTAATTGCATTAATGTCTTGGGTTGGAGCAATAGACAAGAAAGACCAATTTATAATACAAAAAATAAAGAAATAAAATCATGAAGAGACCCCTCAACCAAAAAAATTCAAATTCTGCCCAATACTCATTCACAGTGTGTGTGTGTGTGTGTTAAAACTGCGTAAATTTGTAATCCATGCCTTTGGACAACCTTTCAATAATCAATTTTGTTCATTTCCTTAATTTCCATGTTCGTATGATTCGAAAAGGGGTTATGGCAGAAATTGTAGCGGTTGTGAATTTCCCTCTTACCAAACAAAATTTAATTCGAAAAGAGTAGTCCTGTTTTTAACTTCTCTCCTTATTAGCTGTCACAATTGTGAATGATAGGAAAAAGTTAGTGAATTAATTATTTTTGTATCCAACAGTCAAAAGATTGCCATTAGAAGCCTTTCTCCGTTTTCAGATCCTTGAAAGCATATTTTTATATCAAATAGCTATCCAAAACACTTTAAATTTATAATTTGTCCTTATTTAACTGATTAAGAGAGTACACGGACTTCATAGAATTCCGGAGATATAGAATTTGCTAACATTTCTTTTCTTTTAGTGGCACCTTCTCATGTATCAGCTTTATTCTGAACAAATATTTACATTCAGATTATATGCCATGAAAATTTAACACCATAATAGTCTTGATTTTTCTATTCAAATAATTCCATTATATCTTTACTAATAAAACTTGTTCTAACTACTATGTCATACCTAGAAGCAACCAATGAAAAGTAAAATGATGGTTGTTAGTCCATCTTCCTGCAACAGTACAATTTAAATAAAGTGATTGCCTGCAAATATAGATAGATAATTTAACAAATAAAAGTATTACTATGTGACTGAAAAATTTCAGGGAAATTTGTCAGACTACATATTCAGATACCACCAAAATAGAATGATGTAATCCTGTCAAGCTATTTTCTAGTCTACAGAGTTTATTTTCACGATACTGTTTATTCTCTCAAAAAAAAAAAAGAGTAGAAGGTAAAAGTGAAGATGAAGATTCAATAAATTATTTACATAATTACAAGAGGACCATACAAGTCAAAACACCAAGTCATTAGTTCAATTACTATAAATGGAAAAGCATAGTACAACAAAAACAGAATACTACTAAAGCTTAAAAGTCATAGGAGAAGGAACTTTAAATGATAAACAATAGTAACTGTGTAAAAGGCCTATGTTAATGTACAATTTACTGTCATTCATCACACATAAGAATTCATAAGAATTGTCAAATTTCCCCATTTTATAGTACCCATCAATGAAAGCAGTATAGGTAGACCTTCGTGAATACTTTTAAAGGACATATTCAATTCTTGTTCTAATATCCTTTTTATTTTATTTTTGTGCCCGCATATTTCTCTTTGTTTCACAACTTTTTGTATGAAACTGATGAATATCTGGTGCTATAGGTCAGGTAACCAAAGCTCAGCTGTAGCACAACCATAGGATATTACTAATCGATTTGAAACTTTACCAAGGGGAATTAAGTTCCTAAAAATTTACTAAAAGATGTGTAACTATTAAAATAAAAATTAGCTGTCATGATTGTGAATGATATGAAAAAGTTAGTGAATTAATTGTTTTTTGATCCAATAGTCAAAAGAATGCCATTAGAAGAGTGACATAAGCTTAAAAAAAGATTGTGAATGCATGATTGGAAATCTTCTTTCTTAAGTATAAAACGTAACTGTTAATACATGTATAGTGGACCCAATGGAAAAAACTTAGTTGTACCAATTGTTTACATTAAACTATACCAACTTATCATGATTAATTAAGTGATTTAATGAGGTGATAATGTATATTAATTAATTACAATTAAGCGAAATAAATCTACATACAAGCACATATCATATATTTATTAGTTTGATGTAAACGTTGAATACCGGTAAATTTGGACCAACCACGTGAGATCATTTATGTGTTCATTAGAGGGGAAGCTGGTAGAGCGCCCATGTATCAGTGGCGAAGCCACATGGTCACAAGGGTGGTCAGTTGATCATCCTTCGTTGAAAAATTGCACTGTGTATATAGGTAAAATATTATATTTTAGAGGTATATATAACACATATTGAATACCCTTTGTCGATTTTTTTTTTTTTTTACGTCTTTTAAATTTGAATACCCTTGGAAAAATTCCTACGTTTGCCGCTACCATGTATAACAAGTTACTTTCTTTAGACAAACATACTAATAGGTGAAGAAGAAATCACATATGTGACTTAATCTCTTCTAGCTAAACCCTAAAGGAAGTCATCCTAGATACCTTACCTAGAAACCCCTTCCATAAAAGGTTTTCCCGACTTTAAGTTTTCATCAAAATGTCTCTTGTTCTTTCTTTTTTTAAATTCAAAATTTAATATTCCGACTAATATGTTTGAGAGAAATTCAAAAATTAGCTTGACTTATAACGGCTGATTGAAAATTAATCATTTTACTATTAACTAAAATTTAGAAATTTTTTCATTCGAAAACAAAATCTAGATAAAAATACACATAGTTAAAATCTAAAAAAATTCTATCATAATATACTAGAGTTCGAATTTCTTACATATGAAATTCCAGCATAATATGCTTGAGTTTTATACGCATAAGTTCTATAATCCTAACATAATATGTTGGATTTTTTTCAGTGTTTTAGCTAAGGATATTTTTGTTCAAATTTTATTTCTGTATTAAATAGGGGCGATTTTTCAATTACTTTACTGATATATTTCAACAATCTAAAAAATGGTCTGCTCAAGCTATTTTGACAATCCGTTTTAGGTAAACTCACGGGGGGTTTCGGGGTGTAAAGTGTTACTACTCCTTATCAAGAGATTACATTTTAATACTCGAAATCGAGATCTCTAATTAATAAAATGTGGAGATCTCAATCATCTCGCTCCTCCTATACATGTTACTACTAGTCCAACTTTGTTCCTTTCCCGAGTTCTTTCACCAATAACAATAGCCTAGACTTTGATTGCTTGGTTGAGAGCCTTTTTTGGGGTAATCGTTGCTCATTTTCTTGCAAATTACGGTTAAGCTAAATTTAATTAGCTTGAATGTAGGAGCAGTTAAATCTATTTTAATTTTTTATTATCTACTTTTCCATTCTGAAAAAGAAAAAGTGTCCGAGGCAAAATCCAATTACTGAAGACAAGACCCAATGGCACGTCGAAGTAGAGACAAAGGCCATTTAGACATTTATTGTAGGAATTAACAAGTTTTACATACATATACTTTCTTGCCATGTGCTATTAGCCAGAGATTTTATGAATAAGTTCTTTTTACTCTTTTCTTCTGATTTCTTTACTTTTGTTTCTGACCTTGTCGTCTTGGTGGCATGAAAGTGACTAAACATAACTGATATCAAACCTTGTCTCAAGTAAAGACACCATTTATCTTTACTTCTTTGTAGTATAGTTTGTGATTTACTTTTTCACTTTGCTAACTTTCTTATTGTTTGTCTATGTTATTTTGCCCAATAGACGACAACGTACACCAAATGCTGTAGTTTCTAGATGAAAGTGTGAAATGAGTGCCAAATATCAGTTAATCAAATTGCTAATAATATCCTTTGTCTGAGTACCCAATTTCTGTGAGTAATATCTAGTCTAGTGTTACTAAGAAGAAAGGTGAAAGGTGCGCTAATCCTCTTCTTTTTCATTGGTAAGAGCAAAAGGTAACCAATTAGAAACGTTTTTATAGCTGTGATCTCTTTTCTTGAAAGGTGGAATAATGCTGAATTTGTTTAAACTCTTGTTGCTTATCTAATAAAGTACCTTGCGTATTTGCCACTATACCACAATATCAGCAATAATTCAAGGGTCTCAAAAGTAGGAAATCTAATAAATTAATATAGTAGTAGTAATAGTAACCATCACCAAAGATTTCTTGGAAAATGACCAAGAATACATTTATTGTCATATTTCTTTAACAATGCCTAATAAATTTCCATTGTCTAAACATATATAGAAACTCTGCTTCTAACTCAATTATTTCACTTGAGTGTATTTCATACGTTAATATCTAGAGTAGATGACTCGCTACTATAAACTGAAAACCAGAAAATTAAAGGAGAGTGACAAAAAGATCGAATAGAGCTCAAACACTTTATATACGTTTCTTATCTCACAACAAATAAAAGACAAATAAACTGTTTAAGTCCTAACAAAGGACTTCAACCAAAGAGAAAAAACAGTAAATCACTGAGACTCTAAAGTTCATTGAATCGCTAACTCCTATATATTGAAAGAGTCTTGATAATACACCCATGACCAAAAGTAAAGAATTTAGACTAGAATAACAAAAAAAAATCTGATTACAAAGTTGGCCCCTTTTGCCATATCTTGAGGTTATTCCACTCTCTCAGGTAAGCAGAGAGATACAATAAGCAAAAATGACTTACAAGCGAAAGAAATATAATGTCACACAACTAAAATGCACTCTAACAAGTAAAAAATATAATCTATCTATTGGCTAATCCGTCTGCTATTTTCTGCTTCAGCATCCGTTGCACCTTTAACAACTGATCCATTTTAAGTTGTCGTCGTCCCGAGTTTTCTGCCCAAAGATGGATGATTTTCTTGAATTTACCATCCAAATGGTTGCAGGGAAAGTACTTCATATAACTAATATTTCTGTGTAGACGAAAATAAACAATTGCTGGCGATAAAACTCTTGCCAGTAGTGGAAAAGCTGCTGCTGCTGCCGCTAAGAGGGGACTATAGTGCCAACATAGCCAAATCCGGCAATGGTAAAGGTAATGACTTGCAGGAACACATAGATAAAGTACACTCGCTTCCCATAAAGAACATCATATAAACCACAGAAGAAAAGGAACACTGCAAATCCCAATTCTTGTGGAAGAATCCTGTACAAATTATAACAAATTGACTGTTAAGATAGAGGCAGATTTAAAGGGGGCTATCGAAAATGTAAACATATAATAAGATCACATTCATTCTGAACCCCGCTGTAACGAGAGGACATATTACAACCATTTAGTGGTATTAAGGAGTGGAGTTTTCTCACCTGTCTCCAAATAGAGGTCCTCGAGCTTTCTTGGCTGGTTTAGACTTTTCTTTGTTCTTGAGAGTATCACCTAGTTTCTCAGTCACAACCCATTCGTTAGCCCTCTTTGCCTCGAGCAAACCAATGAATGTAGCCTTGGTTCGGTGGAAAGCCATCACGTTCTCGAAGAGAATCCAATAGAACAGTAAATGAATTGACCTGCAAATCCCATGAGCATATTAGAACATTGTGGCAGAGTTGGGGGAGAAAAGGGACAACTTGTTAGGATATGATGTTAATAGTAGACCTTGGAGTTCCGACAGAGTTGAGAGTGGTGATGATACAAGGGATGTAAATGGCACCCCATAGTGGGACTTCAACTTCAGGAACCAAAAGGGTCAATGGAAGGACAACACAGAAGAAGAAAAATGTAACCATGTGAGCTATGATCTTCCGGACGAAAAAGAAGCTGTAGATAACATAAAACTTCTTCCAAAAATTCACTCTCTGCAAACAGAAGACAAAAAAAGATTGTTCTTATCTTAGTCATGTTCCTTTGTTTCATATTAAATGTAATACTATATTAGACAGACAACTTACTGACCTTGTTCCTAACAATCTCCATCACCATTTTCCTGAACAAATTGGCAGGGCCACAAGACCAACGATGTTGCTGAAAACGGAAGGCTTTGAATGTACTGGGGAGTTCACTTTTCACCTAGAGTAAAAAACCAAAGAAAACACAAAGGAGTTTATTCAGATTATTCCCTCAAACTAGAAAGTTTTCAAGCATTGTGGTCCAGTGAGGAATTTTATCAAATACCTGGAGGTCACCAAGGTAAACAAACTTCCAGCCCTTAAGACTAGCTCTAACAGCAAGGTCCATATCCTCAACAGTTGTTCTGTCCTTCCATCCACCAGCTTCATTAATTGCTGCTATTCTCCATATCCCACCAGTCCCTGTAAAATATTGAATATTTTCTGGTTACACATTTGCCTAATGAACAAATGCATTACATAATGTGTCAAATTAAGATACTTAAGGCTAGATTTTGATTAATGTTTTTATAACGATAGTGTAATGGCCACTTTTGCGCACCTCAATTGTTTCATTAACTCCGCCCACCAAGATGTGCACCGATGGAAAAAAACACCTTGTATTTTTTTTTTTTACCTCTTCTCGGTATTAAACCATATTTTCCCATAACCTTGATTTCAATTCATCAATAATTAGGCTACACCCTTGAATGCTAGCTTGATTAGAGTTATCTAAAGCTATTCAAGAATATTCATATTTAAAAATTCTGACAGATACAGGTACTCATGATTAATTTTCTTATTAAAACAAATAGAAATGAATTTTAGCTTCTTATAGTTAAAAAAAAAAAAAGGAACAGTTTCCAATTCAATTGGTCATAATTACTTGGCATTAGAACATGTGTGACTACTGCTATGTTTCAATTAATAAGGGGGTCATTTATTAACTATAGATGGAAGTGAAGCATGTGGGTATCAGCTTGATTCTTGCTACAGCTGCAAATGAGTTTAATTAATTTACCCAACTCACTTTTGTTATTAAATTCAGTAGGTAGAATAGTATTGCCAACTGTGAAATATCATAAGGTAATTTTAAAAGCCAATAAAGTAATAGTAGTAATTCTTTTTCATCTCACCATTGAAACCAAAGAATGCATGAGTAGATGAGCCCACTTCTTGCTCCACTGTAAAATGGTAATCTAGTGACATCTCTTGCATTCTTGTCAATAAACACTCATTTGCATTCACTGCAATAGCCATAAAATTAAACAATAAGCTCAGTCCTTTTGTTAACATAACTAAGCAGAGCATTTACAAAGTTATTGAGCTTCGACAGTCCACTATAATTCTAATTATAACATCTTAATCGCTAATTATTTCAATTAGGAAGGTAAAAGACAGGCTCCGCATGTCTAATTAAACTTGTTACTTTGGACTCGAACTATATATATATTTTTCCCAAAAAAAACTTGATGCATAAATAAAAGGGAGTAAAATCTTACTACAAACGAATTAAAAAAAAAAGAGAGGGCTGTAAACAGCAAATAAAGTGTCGGTGAGAGCAGTAGAGTAAGGGAACTGAAAAGCCACGTGGAACTGACACAGTGGGAGTCCACGAAGTGGACCCTGAGGCTCTGAGCAGAGCATATTTGCACGTGGAGCCACTTTAAATGACGAATCTACCCCTCCTACTATCTCACCTCACTGTTGACCGTTACGCAAGTAAAATCCGATTTCGTCCACGTTGTTCAACAAAATGACAAACCTACCCCGGTTATCTAGCAATTCCTCGCCGCTAACTCCGGGAGACTTCGACAAACGGACAGGATAATAACGTCATTACACCACTGCTGATTTCGCCACCGATAAGGATGCTTCATTAAACTAGTATTTTCTTATTTCATTTTAGTATTTAGGCTTCTTAAATGCAAAAACCTTAATTTTGGTGAACATGCATATAATGCTGAACATGCATATAAAGTACTATTAGGAATCATGGGGTCCTCGCTTGGTACTACAAATCATCATCATGTAAGCTACAAAGGGTAGTCCGATACATAAAATATCGAGCAATTACCCAGGGTCAGGAAGGAACGTATTTCGAGGGCATGATGTAAACAATCTATCCCGATATAAACATTAATAACTAATTCCATGATTTAAACTCGCGACAGGTCATATAGAAATAAATTGACCGTTACTCCAAAACTTCAATTCATAATATAAACTATGGAACATACAATTCCAGTATTAATTTCATCATAACTAATTATGTCCTTATCTTTTTTTTTTTTTACCTCGACCATTACTAGAACAAATATCAAATAATTTGCGATTAAAAGCAATTAAAATTGTATATGTGAATTTGTTGGTCTAAGCCCGTGATGTACGGTATGTCAATGGAGAAAGTTAGCTATAAACGTCATCCCAACTCCCGTGACTAATGGAGTATTAATTGGACCCACAGAAAATATGCAGCAAATCTTTCCACGAAATATAGTAACAGTATAATTTACACTTTTTTTTTTAAATTTAGCGTCTTAAAATACATATGCTTAAACGTGCACTACTTAAATTAGCAACAGTGACACTGAACTAGGACCACCGACACTTTCCTATAGCAACAACAAAATGTAGTTAATGAACAACAATATCTCAATTTCAAGTTAGTCGAAATCAGCTTAAATGCAATTAACGGTAATTAGAAGATGGATTCAAGTCTTACCAAATCGCCATCGACCTTGAACGAGGGCGATTTCCCGGTTATGTACAAGAAACGGGATGGATCGACGGAGAAAATCGGGTTCGGGTCGGAAATCGGCGTCGAAAATTACGACGTACTCGCAATCTTTGACATAATTATGCTTTAATCCTTCTTTAAGAGCTCCAGCTTTGTAACCACCGCGGGATTCTCTTATTTGGTACGTTATGTTAAGTCCTTTGCTTGCCCACCTTAGGCATTCTGTCTCAACCATATCCTATCATAATAATAAATGTTCAATTAAGGAAAAATAAATCAATAATAATCATTATTAAATGAGTTACATATCTAGTGTAAGGAGACATTTAGGGGAAATAATGTCGGTTTTGGTAGGTGAATAATGTGTCATAAAAGGTCGATATTCTCAATTAAATGCTTTACAAAAGAAATGCCAAAATTCAACAGTTGTAAGAAATTAGAGGGTTGGAATATATAGGAAGAAGTGTAAACATTAAGTAAAGGTCAAAACTCCAGATCTTATATAAGGATTACATTACAATGATCAAGGTATCAAACTTGAAATCCAAGCATTTTCTTAAAAAAGCTGTGATTAAAAAATATTTTTCGATAAGTACACTGTTAAATGTAGTACCATGTGCATTGTTGCTTGTATTTCGCAATGATTATGATTTAAATTGTAAAAAAAAAAAGATGCTTACATAATTACATTGGAAATGCAGTTTTAAAGGACTGTTTGGATTACCTTAATGATAGGATCAGTAGAATCATCAAGAACTTGAATCACGAGACGATCCGACGGCCAAGAAAGGTTACACGCAGCTCCAATAGAGATCTTATACACCTAAAACAAACAAGCCACCAGGATTTCAACAACAAACAAATTAAACAAATTTCTACTTATTTTTAAGCTAATCGAGAAATGAAACACATACAAAATGATGAATTAAGTTACCTCTCTTTCATTAAACATGGGGATTTGAACAAGAACCTTAGGAAAATCAGCACTACCAATTTCCAAATCATCATCAGCCATTGGTTCCCATTTATACCTTTTATCTGGTTTTTTCATGAAAAGCTTAACAATAATAATTACTATTCCCATATAAAGCCTCTCAATAAAAAGCATTAACTCCATTACTAAACAAATGTACACAGCTGCCCTCAACAATGGCACTAACAATGGCGCCTTTAACACTTCCCACATCATCCCTATTTGCCCTGCTATATCAGAAGCAGTCGCCTGAAAAGTTGATTCCGCCATTTTTTCAAATACAGAAAAAAAAACCTCGATAAACAGATTAAATTATACTGATAATGTAATACTGCTCTGTTCGATTTATAAAACAGAGCAGTATTGTATCATTGTAGAGAAACAAAGGAGGCGAAGAGGAGAAGTGGAATAGTGTAGAGAGTGTGAGTGTGTAGTGAGTAATTGATAGAGAGAGAGTTGGGGGAGTTTTATAGTCAGTTTTTGGACTTAATTTGGACTTTTCTATCTCAAAATAATCCTCTCTACATGTTTTCCTTTTTTCTTTCTTTTAACAAGTGGATTTGCCATATATTGTTTTTAATTACTAAAAGAACCCAATGGAACATAACAATTCAAGATCCAATTATGGCGCAATTGGATCACTGTTCTAAATTGAAGAAATAAAAGGAAACTTTTTCACTATTCTAAGCTCCAATTATGGCGCAATTTAACTTTCTATTATTAGCAAATTTTATCAATTACAATTTGGTCAAGCTTAAGACAAGGCGATTGTTACAATTAATTGATGTATTTGAACATTTTTTACCGTTAAGTTCGTGATGATTGTTTAAACGATAAGTATTTCAAGTAGCTGTAAATTGTATTTAAACGAGTTAATATATCCGTTATACTTGTCGTTTTACATTATTTTTCACTAGATTCTATATGATAAATCGAAACATAAAATTTTGATGTTAAGATCATGACCTGATCTTGTACTTGTTGTTTTACATAAATTTTCACTAAATTCTCTATGATAAATCGGGACACGAAAATTTGATATGTTAAGATTATCACTTGATCTTACACTTAGAAAATTATAGTAATATATCTCATTTTCAATATGTTAAGATTATGACTTGATCTTACACTTAGAAAATTATAGTAATATATCTCATTTTCAATATGTTAAGATTATGACTTGATCTTACACTTAGTAAATTATAGTAATATATCTCATTTTCATTTTTTTTCCTCTTTTCATTCTTGCAAATATATCAATGCCAATAAATCAATAATCATTATTTTCACAGATATACATGATACAATTTGAAAAGAATATTCTTAGATGAGAAAAACAACCCAATGCCCAATAACCAAATATGGAATTCCATAATATAGATCTATGGCAAATGAGCTGTAGAGCTACTCTAACTATACAATGTGTTTAATTGGTCAATTATTGCATATGCCCCATAGATAGCATATCTTGATTTTTGCACCTTGGTCTCAAAGAAAACATAATATAAGTATTGTAAAAAGCAAAAATAAAAAGAGAACACTTATTTTAGTCACATAAAAGTTGTAATAAGAAGTTGAAGAGTTGTCAAATTAGAGCAAGATTCATGTGAGAAACAAACTGGAAAACTAAATGATTGACTCTTGGATTGACACGAAGGCAATGGAATATGATGTAATTGTTTTTGGAAAAATTTCAGAGAAATCCGTTGCCGCTACCCTTTGGGTGTGCACTGGGTAAATTGTTCATTGTATAATAACTCGCAAATTATATCGGAGATGTGAATCATAGTAGACAAATCCGATGCGGCGAACTCTGACTGAGAAAGCTGCTGGTGAAGGGTAATCGATCTCAGATCTCTCACGTAAAAAATCATTCACCCAACCAACTCAGTCAACGCCAAGGAGCTTATGATAGTTATTTGCCCCAATCTTAGTTGTTTAGCCATCACAAACTTCTCCTTTGATTTTGGTTCACAAACTTCTCCTTTGATTTTGGTGTGTGAGTATTTTTCTTTTGGGGCAGGGGATCTTTTTGTCGGTTGACGGTGATGTATATAATATTAGCTAAAATTTTGAGATGAAAGTAGCTGGAAAAATAATGTAACGTGAAGGTTACCAATTTTACCATTAGGTCTGATCTACTCAACTCTCTATTCATAGAAAAAATCATTATCCCAAAACAGTACCAATATTTACATGTATATTTGGATTTGAGTATTTTTCAATTTCTATTTTAACCTATATGCATTCATCATTATTGATACGACTAGGATAAGATTTATTTGCATCAAATCAAATAAATGAATACAAGACCTATTTTTTATATTACATTTTAAATTTCAACTTAATTAAGTAATATGTATTTTCAATTTTTATTTGTAACTCTTAAGGTTAAATTATTTGATTTGTTGCAAACATTGATAAGTGTTTTCTTAAAATAAGCTTAGTATCATTGATCTTGTTGATCGTAAACTTGATGATTGCAAATATATCACAGTGAACTATGATTGTCCAACGGAACGGGACGGGACGACACGGGACAATATTTAGCCGGGACAGTGGCGGGACGGGACGAAACAGTAGGCCCATCCCGTCCCGCTAACAAACGGGACGATACGGGACGGGACGATAGGCCCATCCCGTCCCGCTAACAAACGGGATGGGACGGAACGGGACGGGACGGGTTCGCGGGCTTTAAGTGCCGTTTTAAAAAATATATATTTAAGCATTGAGTTTGACAACGGCTATTCTTTTGACAATGACTAAGTTTTTAAAGTTTGCAACAACTAGTGTTTGGACTTATTTAATAAACTTAAAAATTAAATAAAAATTAGGAAAGTAAGTAAAGAATTATAAAATATTAAAACAAAAGACTTGTAATGAAATATTCTAGTAATTATAAATTTATAATAGAGTTACAATTTATTTAATATAATTTCAAGCCATTAAGTAACTAAGTAAGAGTGTAAGACAATTCATAAAAAAAAAATTAACGCTTATAGCCTTTTATTTAATTAATAGAACTTTCAAATCGCACGTACAAATATAATTCTTTTGAAGAACACCTAATCTACGCAGCCACCTTCTAGGAAGGGTTCTGTTTGAACTAAGCCTCTTAGTAGCCAATTACAAATTATCATACTAATATTTGTAAGCTCCTATATAACTTTGTTGTAACTTATCTATAATTTCTCTCGGACATTGTTCTGGAATTGGCAATGTTGATTGATGTTCCATGAGTTCCATGCCGTCATAGCTCCTAGTGTTAAGTATCTCATTGTATTCTTCTTCTTCTCTAGTTTCACCACTTGTTGTTTACATAGATTTATATTTATCAAACATTGATCTAACATAAGAATATATGTTAGCTTGGCAGTATTCGAGAGATGGTTGTTCATTTTCTTGAATTGCTAAAGTCTCATAAATTTTATGAACAAGTCCATTTGCACCTCTTAATTTTAAAGATGAGTTAAGTATAATAGAAATTAAATAAACTTGGGGAATATGAAAAATATACTTTTTAAATTTTGCAATCATTTCATTAATGGCCGATGCATAAGTTGGATTAATTTTACAATCATTTCATTAAGCTAGTTGCTGCAGTTGTGTTAGCACTTAGCAAAAGCATTATCTAAGGTGATAGTTAAAACTTTATCAATTAGTCCATAAAAATCAACAATTTGTAGAACAGTAGTTGCAATATATGTTCGAGTGTGTTTTGAATCAACAAATTTATAACCAATAATACGTTTTTGCATGTTCGAGTGATGATCAACCCAATGACATGTAACAGTTAAATAATCACAACCATTAGGACTACGACCTATATCATATGTGATAGATACTTTACAATCTAAGTGAAAAAATACAAAATGAATATACTGAATATTTTTCGATTTGAAATTTAAAAACATTATTTCTAACTCTGGTCTTAGGAAAACCTTGAAAAGCAGGATTATAAGTTTCTTGTATACAATGCATAAAAAAAAATAGGACCCGAAACGGGACGGGACGGGGCGGGACGAAACTGGACGGGACAAACGGGACGAAATGGACATCCCGTCCCATCCCGTGTCCCGTTTAACATGGGCCCATCCCGTTTAGAATTATACGGGACGGGACGTCTCGTCCCGTTGGACAGCCCGTCCCGTTGGACAGCCCGTCCCGTTGGACAGCCTTACAGTGACCCACAAAAAACACACAACAAACTTCACAAATTTATCGGGTTAATTTCACTCATGGTCATCCAACTTATCATTTATTTCACAAAAGTCACTTATCTATTTTTCATCACTTAAAAGTCACTCAACTTTACCTTTGTAACTTGAAAGTCAATCTAGTTCAAAACTTATAAAATATTCAATAAAAAATATAACATGACATTACATTTAATTAAAAAATCTAATAATAATGCCACATAATCTTAAATAGACCATATCTAAGTTAGACCTATTTTTTCCTTAGCCCGATTTCGGTCGGTTTTTGAATATTAGTTTTAATTTATTTTATATGAAAACCGATCGATTTCGGTCGGTTTCTTAAAAAATAAATTTCGCGGGATTCTAAGATAGTTTTTCACATTTTTGCGCCAAAAAAAATCCGACCGAAGTCGGTTGGTTTGTAAAACAAAATTAAAAAATAAAGTATTTTGGAAAACCGACCGACTTCAATCTCACATAGNATATTTATGATACCGACCGATTTCGGTGGATTTTTTTGGCGCAAAAATGCGGGAAATTATTTTAGAATCCTGCGAAATTTATTTTTTTAAAACCGACCGAAATCAGTCGGTTTTTCATATAAAATAAATTAAAACTAATATTCACAAAACCAATCGAAATTGGCTGAGGAAGAAATGAGTCTAACTTAGATATGGTCTATTTAAGCTTATGTGGCATTATTGTTAGATTTTTTAATTAAATATAATGCCATGTCATATTTTTTATTGGATATTTTATAGGTTTTGAACTAGAATGACTTTTAAGTTACAAAAATAAAATTGAGTGACTTTTAAGTGATGAAAAATAGGTAAGTGACTTTTGTAAAATAAATAATAAATTGGATGACTAAAACTAACCCCAAATTTATCCATTGGTTTGTGTTACCTATGAACTTCTGCTTTATCTTATATAACAATTCATTTTTCGTTCTTTCGATATGGGTTTTACCTAAGATGTCATATACGCTATTTCTTTAGAAGCTTTCCACCGTCGAAGTGAGCCAGTTCTTTTCCTCGATCCGCCATCATCAATGCACTCTATGTTATAGACGTCATAACATTGTAGAGCAATATCTACTTTAAAGTAAAAAAAATTTGCTTTACTTTTATTACTTGCAAATTATAAGGCTAAATGAAGTACGCTCAGTCATATATTTTATGCAGAGACGGATCTAGAATTTGAACCTTATAGGTTTCTACTTTCCAGCGATCTCAAATAATATACAATAATAACGGA